TCGAAGCGGATTCACTGCCAGTGCCCCCCTCTGCGAGGACCCTGGAATCAGAGGCTGCCCCCACCCCTGGGGGTGGTCCTGAGCAGCAGACCCAGGGAAGGGTGACTGCCCCCTCTGTCCTCTCTCCCGCAGGCAAGAAGAAGTCAGAGGACAGTGGCTCCGGGTTCTGGGGCGCCCTGCCCTACATGGCCGTCGGAGCAGGTGGGCCTGGGGTCAGGAACTCGCCCGGGGTTGCAGGACTGGTGGGGAGGCTGGGCGGGCGGGGGGGGGGGACCGGGGAGGTGGGGACCGGCAGGGGAGGGGGTGCTCGGGCCGGGATGGGAATGCCGCCGCGCCCCTCACCGCCTGCTTTTTCTTCAGGGCTCATGGTCGCCGGGCTGCCCGCGCTGGGCTTCACGGGAGCGGGCATCGCAGCCAACTCGCTGGCGGCGTCGCTGATGAGCTGGTCCGCGGTGCTGAACGGAGGCGGCGTGCCGGCTGGGGGCCTGGTGGCCACGCTGCAGAGCCTCGGTGAGCGCCTGGCCTAGAGCTCTCTCCTGGAGGGCCGGCCTGGCTCTGGTGGGTTCTTACCATTGCCTGCCTACAGCCCAGTATGAATTTACTCAAGTTCAGAACCAGAGCCGCGATTAGAACTCACTCAGTCTGACTCCAGAAGATTCACTTAGCCTAGAGTCCAGGGGCTGCACCACTTCTTTGGCTGGCTTTCCAGATAATCAGCCTCACCTGGATCTGCTCAGTGTCAGAAACCAGCGTGGCCATGCAACGTGGGAGCAGCCGGGTCAGCCCCACGCGCCCTGGCCCTGACTTGCCCTGTGAGCACATGCAGTGCCACGGCTCCTGGAAAAATGCCTTCCCCTCTCTCCTGCCGCCCCCTCTTCTCCTTGCCATGGACACACACGTATGCACACTCACACGCGGTCTCTCTCCGAGGCCTCCCACATCCTGGAGAAAACTGCCCTTACAAACTCCCTCCTTTCCTGAGCTCTCCACCTTCTCCCAGCTCTGACTGGATAGGAGCCAAAGGGCCCCAAAGAAGAGCCCTTCTGGGGGCAGGGGCCACAGCCAGGCCAGGCCCCTGCAGGAGAGGTGCAGGGTGTGGGGCAAGGGTAGGGGCAAGGATGAAATGCGACCTTGCTGTGAACCCCCACGCCCACATGGGGAGGTCCCCACGAAAGACCTGCTGGGAACACGGGGTGTCAGTGCAGGCCTCGACCCCTCGTCCTCTCCTCTCCAGGCAGAGAGTGATAGGGCCCCTGGGTGGAAGGCCATGCCCTCAGCCTCATTGCTCGACTGGCCCGGAGGGCACGGCCTGACTAGGCCTTGCAGCCACGCGAGTCCCCGGACCTGCTGTCTGCACCTGTGACCAGCCGCACTGCTTTCCAGGGGCCGGTGGGAGCAGCGTCCTCCTGGGCAAGACGGGCGCCGTCCTGGGCTACGTCGTCCACAAGCAGCTGGAGGCCGGGGACGCGGAGGACGGGGAGGGGGAGGAGTAGCCATGTCCAGGTGCCCTCCTCCCTGCCCACCCATGACCCAGACGAAACGACTTTCTCCAAACACCCGGGGCCGTCATTGGCTCAGAGGGAAGACCTGGGCCTCCCTGGGCGTGATGGTCACCCTTGTGCTGGGCAGGCCCGGGCGGGGGTGAACACGGTGCAAAGGCCCGGTGGGGTGCCTCCCGCTCTCTCAAGAAATAAACTAAAAAACAGGTGTGAAAAGGGGTGTGTCATGCTCACAGCCGCACTGTCAGTGGGAGCCTGCTGGACCCCCCACCCCCCGCTCTGGCTCTCACGCTCTGCTCTGATGTCAGACAGGCCATCCTCTCAGTGACACGGTCCCCAAGCTCACTGCCCGGAAGCCTTCCCCACCTGGCTCGGGGGAGAAGGTTGAGAGGCCACCCCAGGGCACCAGGGGAGGTGAGGCATGGCGGAGAGGCCCGGGGATGGACGGCCATGAGCAGGGCTGACCCCCGATGGAGGTAGGGGACTGCGCTGTGCCCAGGCTCTGCCGACCCTTGGTGCTGCCCGGGTGGCTGTGGGAGCAGGCCCGAGCACTAGAGGCTGCAGCTTCACACGTGGGTGTGCAGAGCAGAGCGGACACGCTCCCAGGCAGCTCCTCAGGCCTCCACGCGGTCCCCTGTGACCGCGAAATCCCTCTGCCCCCTTTCAGGGCCACCTTGTGGGGAGCAGTGGTTCGCCCTAAGCTGTGGGTGGGGTAGAGGCACCAGCTGCGCCTCCAACACTGCAGGTCAAGTCCGGGCTGACGCTGGACGGAGGCTGTCGGGTGTGCCGGACGGGGGCTCCTGGCCCGTCGGGCATGTCAGGGTAACAGTGGTTGGAGGCTATTGGGCGTGCCAGGTGGGGCTCCCCAGTCGCCGGGCATGTCAGGCTGACGCCAGAAGGAGGCTGTTGGCCTGTCAGCGTGTCCGGGGCCACGTGGATGGAGACTTCCGGGCCATCGGGCATGTCCGGGACACCACTGGGTAGAGACTGCTGGGCACACCAGATGGGGGCTCCTAGCCGGTCAGCCATGTCCAGGTTATCAGGAGGAGGGTTCTGAGCTGTCAGGCACCTAGGTGTGTGCTTGTCTGCGGCTGGAGGGGTGGGGAGCAGGTCCTGCCCACAGGCAGGCGGGCCCCAGGTCCGGCCACTGTGCCCGGGCAGACGCCCCGGGACAGGAGTGTGTCGGTCAGCCCCTTCAGGGAGGGTATCAGGTCTGCTTTCTCCTTCCCGGTGCCCAGCACAGGCTTAGTGCACGGTGCCCACGTGGGCAGATGGCATCTGAGGGCACCTCTGCACTCTGCTGGCCCTCCCCTCCCCAGACTTATGGAAGGGTGGCTAGGCTCTTGGCCTTTCCCTGGGGGCCTTGAGAACACTCACTGTGGCCCCTAGCAGACCGGAGGGAGAGGGGACTGCACCCCTGTAATGCCATGGCCCAGTGGACACAGGCCCCAGCCCTTTCCTTGGTGTTCCCTGGCTCAGACCGGCTGCCAATGGGCACAGTGGTCAGGCACCCTGGTCAGCCCCCAGCTGGTGCCCTGGCGGGCCTGTTCCCCACAGTGGCCAGTGTCCATCTGTGAATGGGGGCAGGGAACAGCTGGTTAGGAGAGTCGATGAAGTAGCGCGTGGATGGGGCACTCGCGCACCGTAAGCACCCACAAGTGGCAGGCACCATGACACCGCTGACCTGCATTCACCACGGAGGGCACAGCCCAGCAGCAGCCGGGAGCTCCGTTCACCACCCTCGGGAGCTGGGCTCTCCCAGGGCTTCGCACTGCTGTGTCCGTCTTTGCTGGGGAGACGCCACACGGAGTCTCCCCTCGGCGCCCTGCCGGCTCCCTGGCACAGCATCCAGGCCAGAGAGGGCTCCTCTGTCCCCAGGTTCTAGGTCTGAACCCTTAGGCTGAACGACAGCAGTGGCGACCCAGGCTCTCCACGCATCTTCATCAGCCCCCACCCAGCCAGTGAGGGCTGCCGGCCCGGGGCTGCCCGCTGTGTGCAGGGCTCTGGAGGGCGCCGCTCAGTCCCACTCGCTTTCCTGCTCTGTGTGCGTGCCGACCCCCCTCTCCCTCACTCCACTGGCATCCTGAGTGCCCAGCCTGGGCCAGGCATGGTGCCAGGGCCAAAACACCACATGGAAGAGGCCTGCCACCCACCTGCTCTGCGCCCCAAGACACCCAGGATCTCCTCACCTGACTCCCTCTCACCACCTTCACACTGGCTGGCCTTCATGGCCGCCCTCACCCGTCGACCCCACTCGGGGCAGGGTGGTGAACACACTCCAGGATTCACCGACACGCCGCTCAAGAGGTGCCCAGAGCCTACTTGGACTCCTCCCAGGCAGTGCCTGCAGAAGTAGGGCTGAGCCCTGTGCGGGAAGCCCTAGCCCCCTCGTCTGCTTTCTGAGAGATTTTTGCTATAGGGCCCATGCACTCACCAGAGAAACAGAGACAGTAAACAAGAAATCACCTCCAGGGGGATGGCCATACTGCAGTCCCTTCTCCATTCTCCTCTTGGGATCTTGGGCACGCACGCACACATGCCTGAGTTCGAAGCTGCCAGGTCCAGGACGCAAACTGTGGTCGACTACGTGGGAGTCCAGCGACGTAACCCTTATGCCATCTGCTGGTCCCCTAGCCTCCCCATCTTTAAAACCTGGGCCCGATGGTGGCATGAGCTCTGCAAGGCTCACCAGGTGGGGCGGTGAACATGCCTCCGGCTCCTCCCTGCGCACTGTGGACCACAGGGCCACCACTGGGGCAACCGAGCTGGCGGCACAGCGTCCACCCCGCGGGGTGCTGTCTCTCTCTTGCTCATGGAAGAAATCAACTTGTAAAAATAATTAGTGAGGCCAGCAGATGGCAAGTGGTTAAGGCTCTGGAACCCCACATGGTCAACTGCAGTTCACGTCCTAGTCCTGACGGCTTGAAACCCATGCCAGGTGTGCGCAGGTGCCCAAGACGCCGAGAGGACAATGAGAAGGGATTGCAGTGTGGCATCCCCCTGGGGGGTGGCTTCTCACTTTCCTCTCTTCGAATCTCTCTCCTTTCTGGCAAATGCAACAACAAAAAAAGGGCGATGACACCAGGCAGCTGACGTCTCCGAGGCCGCCTGCTCTGTCCTCCCAGCCCTGCCAGCCCCCGCCCTTTTAGCATGGACTTTATTTTTGGAAGCAGCCAAAAGTGACCTGGTAGTGCCTGCTGGCTGTGGTGACAGCAGGGCAGAGCTGGTGTGCTGAGAAACGCCGTGCTTGGTCGCAGAGGAGGGGGACACCGCAGCACTCCTGGGCCGCACCCCTGCTCTGTCTAGACAGGGAGGCCCTCTGACCTCCCTCTTCTCCACTTCCTTGTCTATGGGAGGAGCCAGACTCATCCAGGCCTGGGATGTTTCTCCCACGTGCTCACCTTAGGGAGGCCTTTCTTCTTTAATTGCCAGAAGGCCCATGAGTTCCCCAGAGAGAGCTAGAGACACAGAGAAAAAGAGAGTGAGGGAGAAAGCACCCCCGGCACGGCCACACCACATCCCTCCATTTCTCCACCTGCTGGCGCCTGGGGCTCATGCATGTGCCCCGTGTTTTCTGGTTTTAATTTGCTAGAGGGCACATGCACAGAGAGGGACAGTGGAAGCACCCCATGGGGGTGGCCACGCCACAGTCCTTTCTCCTCTGTTTTGAGAATTTGGGATTTCGAGCACACGTGCACGCACACATGCCTGGCGTGAGCTTTAAGCCGCCAAGTCCAGGACTCAGACCGTGATTGACTACGTGTGAGTCCAGTGATGTAACCATTGCACCATCTGCTGGTTCCAGTACAATCCCTTTATCTAGAAATTTCCCTCATCCTTCAAGGGCCTTCAGGCACCCACACCCCTCCTCTCCCACGGCCACCCACCAAGCCATGTGCTGTGTGCTACTGTGACCACCAGGTGGCACTGCAGTCCCACCGTGGGGTCTTGACCAGCCTCCGTCATCCTCTGCAGTAACCCACAGCGCTCCCTGGACACGCCCCCACACACGTGCACGTGTGCGCGCACACGCGTCCGCGCAAACACACGCCATCTGGCTAGACTGAACCCGGGACGGCCAGGCTCTGCAGCTCAGTGCTGAGCCTGTCCTGCCCAGGGCTCTGCAGGCCTGTCCCAATCCCCCAGGGCCATCCCCAGGCCGCTGTGGTCAGGCTGCACCTCCAGACCCACACCTGTGCTCCCCACCTGTGCTCTAAGGAAAAGGGAGGAGCACTTTTTCTTCTCTTCCTTCCCTTTCTCCTTACTTTTAATGTATATTTTAAGGTTTTTGCCATAGGCCACATGCACTCACTGGAGAGAGAGAGAGAGAGAGAGAAAGCAAGAACTTAGCCCCAGGGGAATGGCCAGGCTGCAGTCCCTTCTCCCATCTCCTCACACGATTCTGGGCACGCACGCACACGCGCTCAGTGTGATTCTCAGGCTGACAGTCTGTGGGTTGAACTGTGGTCAGCCACGTGGGAGTCCAGTGCCCTAACCACCACGCCCTCTGCCAGCCTTCCTTGCTGTCTGGCCTGGTGGTGCAGGGCAGCACAGCACCCCTGTGGCTGAAGCCTCATGGGAAGGCCCCAGGTTTGCATCCCAAGGTCCTCAGTTCATACCAGGCGTGCACAAACTCACCGTCCGGGCTGGCTGAAGTGGCATAGACCACGATAGTTTTAGAAAACTATTTTTATATAGCTTTTTTTTTTGGAGAGGTTTTTGCTGTAGGGCGCGTGCGTTTGCCAGAAAGACAGAGACAAAGAGACAGAAAGCGAGAAATCACCCCCCAGGGGGGATGGCCACGCCGCAATCCCTTCTCCTCCATTCTCCTCGCGGGACCTTGGGCATGCACACACACGTGCCTGGTGTGAGTTTAAGCCACCGTGTCCGGGACTCGAACTGCGGTCCACTACATGGGAGTCCAGCGACATAGCCATTACGCTAACTGCTGGTCCCTGTAGCATTTTAAAAATTTATTTATGGAGATTCATGGTTCAGGCAGCGGAGCCTCACATGATTGACAGCAAGGGTTGAGTCCCAGGCCTGGCAGCTTGAGAAACACGCCAGGCACGTGAGGGATGGGGGAGTGCTGGTGGCGATGGCTGCCCGGGGCACTTCCTAACTCTCTCTCTGAGCACGCGCACCCTCTCTGATCATTTTTATGTATTTATTGGGGCCAGCAGATGGCGTGGTTGTTAAGACACTGGACTCCCATG